CAGAGCAGGGATGACGGCAGAGCAGGGATGACGGCAGAGCAGGGATGACGGCAGAGCAGGGATGATGGAGAGGTCACTATTTCCATCCCTGCCTGGAGTCCCAGTTTCTCTGACTACCACTCCCCCCACCACACACACTGTGGTAGTCCCCAGTATCCCCAGGGTCCCCAACTTGTCCCCAGGACCCAGCCATTGCTCATCTGATCAGAGGCCTTGCTGGCACTGCCTGGATCCCTGACAGTCACCTGCTCCTGACGCCCCACGACCACGAACTCCTACTGGATGCATGTCCTAGATGGCCGCCCATCACTCATCACACAAGGTTGAGCAGAGACCATGGGACTTTGTTAAATTATTTTTTTAAATATTTATTTTTGAGAGAGAGACAGAGCATGAGCGGGGGAGGTACAGAGAGAGAGGGAGACACAGAATCTGAAACAGGCTCCAGGCTCTGAGCTGTCAACACAGAGCCCGAGCCCGACGCAGGGCTTGAACTCACAAACCTCAAGATCATGACCTGAGCCGAAGTCTGACACTTAACTGACTGAGCCACCCGGGCGCCCCGAGACCATGGGATTTAAAGCCAGAAGATGTGGGTTCAAACAGTAGTTCTGCCACATCTTGGCTGTGTGACCCTGAGAAAGTAACTTTACTTCATGTTAAGGATGACAAAACAACAGGAGAGAAGGAACCTGGGTCCCTCACATTTGCGCAGCTGGCCTACCAGCCTTGAAAAGCTCACCCTTGGTCTTTCTGACCATGGAGAGAAGGAAATTCTAACTTGTTTAAGCCACTATGATTTTAGGGATTGAGGTAATACCGTTCTTCCCAGAACGCCCTCAACATTATCTAAAGCTTTGCTTCTCAAAGTGTGGTCCCCAGACCCGCAGCACAGGCCTCAGCTGGGAACTTGTTAGAGATGCAGAATCTCAGGCAAAATCCCAGAGACCTGTGTGCGCGCTGGACCGTAAGGAGCCCGGCTGCAGGCCCAGGATATGGACAGGGACTTTCCTGTTGCCCTGGAATTGCTAAAGCTGCAAAACCAGGAAAACCAGGTACTTGCGCACTCTACTCCTTTGTTCTAAAGCTGCTCCCAGAGCAAACAGCCCCCAGGGTCCCCCGTGAGAAGACAGCGGGCAGCCCCACCCCCAGCCTAGCGCAAAGTGATGTTGAGGCTTCTCCCTCTTTGCCAGTTCCCACCTGCACCGCGGCCCCCACTGCAGACCCATCAAGAAGAGGGCTCCAAGGTGATCTGGGAGGGCTGCCCGAAAGAGGGGGAATCTAGCAAGTGTCTCATTCCCCAGAGGGGCAGCTCAATAGTCCGGAAGTGACCATCCCCAAACCACTAGAATAGGACATCAGGGAAGAGGCGACTGGGAAGGGACAGTCTTTTCTCCCAAAGGGATGCAGTTCTGGTACACCAAGACCATGATGTCCCAGGGGACATTGCTCTGTCCCGGGGGGGCAGGTGAACTTTCTTCAGGGGCGCTGCTGGGGGCCTGGAGTCTGATGGAGGGATCCCTTCTCCTACGGCTCCTTCCGACCCCAGGTCCCCATGCTTTCAGACTCCCCTTACCTGTGGAGGCCTCGGCCTTGGCAAGGCTCCTGCGTCCGCTCATGGTAAACACACGTTTGCCAAACAGTGGAGGGCGGGCTGCCCTTTCTCTCTGCCCGCTGTCCCCCCTCCAACGTCTATCTCCTCCTGCTCAAATGGAAGACCCGTTCAGGAAAGTCAGCACCCAAACTGCAGGAAGTGCAGAGGAGGGAACAGAAAGAGACAGAAAACAGAAAGATGGAAATTATTTGATCAGAAAGCCAAAACGTGGAAGCAACTCGAATGTCCATCAGCTGACGAATGGGGAAATAAAATGGGGGCATAGCCATATAATGGAATATCATTCTGCCATAAAAAGAAATGAAATGTCAGCACGAAATATCAGGATGAACCTTGAAGCCATGCCAGACACAAAGACCATATATCGTATGGCTCCGTTTACATCTAAATGTCCACAATAAGCAAATCTATCAACACTTAAAGGAGGGGCACCTGGCTGGCTCCGTCAGTGGAGCGTGCGACTCTTGATCTCGGGGATGTAAGTTCGAGCCCCAGGTTGAGTGGATAGATGACTGAAAAAATAAATTCTTCTTCTTTTTTTTTTTTTTTTTTTTTTTTTTTATGAAAGAAACAGAAAGTAGATGAGTGGTTGCCCAGGGCTGAGGAGATGGGGGAATGAGGAAAGGGTGCCAGCTAAGAGGTATAGGCTATCTTTTGTGGAGTAATGAAGATGTTCTAAAATCAATTGTGGTCGTGGGTGCACAACTTGGTGAATATACTAAAAGCCAGTGAATTGTGCACTTTGAATAGGTGAGTTGTATGGTATGTGAATTTTATCCCAATAAAGCGGTTTCTAAAATTAAAAAAAAAAAAAAAAAAAAAAAAAAAAGATAAGCATTCAAGAACATTTCTCTGAAGTGAGGGATAGGAGTTTCCAGACTAAAATGGCCTGTCAGGTGCCAATACAATGGACAAAAATAGACCCTCACCAGCGCCCATCATCATGATATTTCAGACAGGGATATTCTATGAGCTTTCAAAGAGCAAAAATAGGTCACTTTCCTAAAAAGGGTCGGGAACGAGAATGGCTTCCGACCGCTCCACTGCAACCTTAGATACAAGAAGCCAACGCCTCGTCGCCTTCAACATTCTGAAGGAAAGTGATTTCCCACACAGAATTCTGGAGCCAGCCAAAGTAGCAATCAAATGTGAGAGTAAACTAAAGACATTCTTGAAAGGGTTCCCTCCCACCAGCCCTTCTCAGGAAGTTAGAGGATGTGTCCCACCGATAGGAAGGGGTAAACCATGGATGATGTGGGGTACAGAGGGGGGCCCATCACAGTGGAGGGGAAAGGACATCGGGAAGGGTGAAGGGAGAGCCCCGGGTCCCAGCCGAGCACCCGGCAGAGAGAGGGCAGCCAGACCACATGAGATATCTCTGCTGCTTTTTAAAATAAAATTAGTCGGCTGAGCGTCCAACTTTGGCCCAGGTCATGTTCTCATGGTTCGTGGGTTCGAGCCCCACATCGGGCTCTGTGCTGACAGCTCAGACCCTGGAGCCTGCTTCAGATTCTCTGTCTCCCTTTCTCTCTGCTCCCCCACCCCCCACCCCGCTCATGCTCTCTCTCTGTCTCAAAAATAAATATAAACATTAAAAAATTGTTTTAATAAAATAAAATATAGTCTATACGCCCCTAGGTAAAATAGTGTGTTGACTATAGAAAATATGACAGGGAGGGGCGCCTGGGTGGCGCAGTCGGTTGAGCGTCCGACTTCAGCCAGGTCACGATCTCGCGGTCCGTGAGTTCGAGCCCCGCGTCGGGCTCTGGGCTGATGGCTCAGAACCTGGAGCCTGTTTCCGATTCTGTGTCTCCCTCTCTCTCTGCCCCTCCCCCGTTCATGCTCTGTCTCTCTCTGTCCCAAAAATAAATAAACGTTGAAAAAAAAAAAAAAGAAAATATGACAGGGAAAAGGGCAGCCTGGCCCAGCTTCCACATGCTCTTGATCCTTTGCTGATGAGTTTCCTCTTGCTCCCCCAGGCACAACCACCTCTGTCAGCTGGGAACCCTCATGCTTTGACCTCATGATTGAACAAGTGGCAACTGAGAAGCAGAAATCCAGAGGAGCCCACTCCCCCCATAAACATTGGCACACATATACACATACACACATACATATACACACAGGCACAGACCTCGCCATCGACTTGCTGGGAGCCCCAGGTTTTCAGGACCCATTCATAACCTCACCGACTTCTCCAGAAGAGGCTCCAGTCCCCTCTCAGGAGAGCCGAAGGCAGACTGTGACCAGAGGCTCTGTTCAGCTGACCTTCCCTGGAAGCCGTCACCTGCCAAAAATAGACAGCTCTTCTCGGGCTTCTGTTACTTTGTATACTGACTACCATTTTCATTTCTGCACGTGCAAATCCTGCCTGATAAAATTTTCTAAGATTTTCTCTTGATTGAGGCAGAAATTAAAGAGTGGAGAGAAGAATGTGCCCAGAAGTCATGAAGTCCCAGAAGCTGGTATGCAAAGGAACATAGGTGAGTGCACCTAAAATGGAAAGTTTGAGGCGGGAGTTGGCAAGAAGTCAAGCCAGCCAGGTGAGCTACAGGGCTGACCCCTGGACCGTGGGGGCTTTAAGGCAGAGCAGTCCAATAGATGGCCACACCCTCTCCCAAGGGGCATTCCTGGACTTCCCTGAGCACCAGAGCAGCCATGGGCACTGCTGGCGAGGGTCCTGGGGTATTGTGAGGAGTCCTGCGGGGCCCAGGGTCTCCCACATTGCTGCCCTGCTGCCCTTGGCTGCTGGGCCTGGAGATGTCTCAGGGCAATGGATGGACACAGTCGTGCTGACACGGGAGCTGCCTCGGAGCTGGAAGCCCCACAGGGGAGCAGGCTGGGCCCAGGGAACTTGTCTCTGTTCCGCAGCCACACCCTGAGTTCTGGTCCCAGACAAGAGTTGGGACCTGGGCTGTGGCCCCAGCTCCCCGCACCTGCCCTCAGTGATCAGGAGAGAGTGGATGATGCCCTCTCCAACCCAGGTTATCTCACCTGGGCCACACATGAACATCTAGAAAGGTTATGGGATTAGACTCGTGGTCAAGAGAGCTATCATGCAGGTAGTGGGGCACTGTTCCCCTCCTGAGCCCCAGGGAGGGTCACCCCCAATCCCTGCCTCTCTAGACTGGACCCCTCAGTGCTTCCTTCCCCACCCTTCCGCTTGCCACAGGCCTCAGGGGCCCTCGGAGCCTTGTTTCGTCCTCAAAGGACAGGAACAGAGGTGGGGATTCGCCTCAGTGTCACAGCCCAAGAGCCCAAAGTGTCCCAACCCCAGCCAGACGCCCCGAGCCTGGAGCCCATTCAGAGCAGGCGCGGCAACGCCGACCACAGCCACGAGGTGGCGCCAGGAAACCGCCTGAGACGCCCAAACCCAGCCCCAGCCCGGTTTCATAGCTCTTCCTCTCTCCGCGCCGACCGGGGTCCCCTCGGCTCGTCCGCACCCGGGCCTCGGTTCACAGCAGAGTCTGGCCGGTGGGCCGCGGGCCGGAGAGGAGGCGGGGGGAAGCGGGGTAGCTGTCGGGACATCCTCGTGGAAGGAGCCTAGGGACCGCTTCGGTCCAGGGCGACCTGGAGGCTGGACGCGTGCACCAGCAATATCCGGGGTCCTGAAGGTGCCCCCATCAGGTGTGCAGCCCACCCTGATGTGAGCCGTGTTCCTCCTGGATCGTAAAAGGGAGAGCAAGGGAATAGAACATGGAGGAGAAATAGAAGACCTTGTCGTTGGCAGAGCACCTCGGGTGCCCAATTCTGCCTGTGCCCAGCTCTGGGCCAGACTTAGTATTTCTAATCTTGTACGGGGATGCTCCTATTACCAACCATTCTCCACCTTCCTTTCCCAGGCTGCACAGCTCTCGGTGGTGGGAGCTCACTGACAGTGGAACTCACGTCTGCCACTCAGCCCCAAACCCTCAGCCAGGGCCACCCCATCTGTGCAGGGGCGCCTCAACCCCACGGAAGGACCAGAAGTGCTCACCACTGTGCAGGGCCAGGAGTCATCCCAGGGACCTGGCACACGCCTAACCTGAAGCCCAGACTCCTGCAGCCTGAAGAAGGACGGGCTCCCCACCCCCACCCAATCCACCCCTGAACTGCAGCCACCTCCCTCCCGGCCCACACACCCTGTTGGGGAACCAGGAGGCCTGGAAAGAAGAGGAGCTTTAGAGCCCAGGCAGACCTGGAATAAAGCTGGTTCTGCACTTACTGGCTGTGTGATCTTGGGCAAGTCCTCTAACCTCTCTGGGTCTCACTGTCCTCATCTGTAAAGCGAAAGCACTCGTGCCCACCCCAGGGGGTTGTAACTGGTAGAAACCATACCCATGAAAGAATATTCCTGGTGTGTAGCAGATCCTCAATAAACTCTGCTGATTGGATATTCATCAGCTCCTATTTTGTACCAGACCCTCTGCTGGTTGGTGTTCAAGGGATCCCAGAGATGAAGCGGATGTGACTGCCGCCCTCCGAGAATGACCTTTGGGGAAGAGAAAATCCATGCTTCAAAAGTCAGGCAGCATTTTCCTGATGTTAAATGTGGCGGCGTTCAAACATCTATTACATTTCAGGCTCTAAACACGCTGCAGGAAACAGTGAATGTAGTTACCCTTTATTGAGTATATACTCTGCACCAGGTTCCTCACCTACATTTGTTCAACAGCTGTGTGCTGGGGCCCTAGTGGGCGCCAAGTACTTGGCGGGGACTTGGCGGGGACCTGGGGCACAGCCACGAGCAGGATGGTGACTGCCCGCGAGGAGCAGACAAGCTAGCGGGGAACAGATGATAAAGTCATGACACAGACGCACATGTAATTAAGGTAAGTGCCTCTCAAAGGGACATGGAAGGAGCCTTACCGAGGAGGACACCCGAGGGTGGGGGAGGGAGCATCCGCCCCGATGCAGGCAGCAAGAAGGGGTATCGTCAGTACCAAATTTTAAAACAATAAGAACCCACTAAAAGTGAGTCTGCTTTTTATTATCACTGCATACCAGCAATTCTAAACAGTGTCCTCCCCCCAGGTTCTGTTGTTCGTTTAAGACCTCAACGATTGTTTCTGTTACTGTTAATTTTTAGTAATATACATGTAAGTTTCAAATTAGTACATTTTCATTACTTATCCCTTAAAAAACATTGTATTCTGCTTGGAAATTAATTGGGACAATTCCCAGTCATTGAGCCACTCCCGGGACCAGCTACCCGCGGTCATGTGGATGCAGAATTGTTCATGCTCACTTCAGAGGAATGTTGTGTCTCGAATCCCTGTTGCACTGTCCTTCATTTAAACAGTCCGTTTGGAATAAACATTGGTAGCATAGTTCTATGTGACCATTTGGAGTTCTTATTCGTTTAAAATTTTTCAACTTAGGGAAGTTATCTGAGAGCTGCTAGAATCGATCCTGAAGAACTACATGTGGACAATACCGCAATTTCTGGAATTTCTTGTTGAAATGGATTTTTTCTGAATTTCCACCAAACATCCTTATGTTTAAGGCTCTCCCTAATTATTTGTGTGTCTATTGCTTCGGGTGAGAAAGAACATTTCCAAATAAAAATTAATTGAAAATATTCTTTGGTTAATTATGATCAAAGATAAATTGATAAATTTGATCAATCTGAGCTACTTCTTGAACATAAAAATATGCAAAGATCAGGGGAGCCCAGGTGGCTCAGTCAGTTAAGTGTCCGACTTCGGCTCAGGTCATGATCTTGCGGTCTGTGAGTTCAAGCCCCGCATCAGGCTCTGTGCTGACAGCTCTGAGCCTGGAGCTTGCTTCGGATTCTCTGTCTTCCTCTCTCTCTCTGCCCCTCCCACACCTCTCTTTCAAAAGTGAATAAACAAAGGGGCGCCTGGGTGGCGCAGTCGGTTAAGCGTCCGACTTCAGCCAGGTCACAATCTCGCGGTCCGTGAGTTCGAGCCCTGCATCAGGCTCTGGGCTGATGGCTCAGAGCCTGGAGCCTATTTCCGATTCTGTGTCTCCCTCTCTCTCTGCCCCTCCCCCGTTCATGCTCTGTCTCTCTCTGTCCCAAAAATAAATAAACGTTGAAAAAAAAAAAAGTGAATAAACATTTTTAAAAATATGCAAAGATCAGGGTTTTTTAAATGTTTTTTATTTATTTTTGAGAGAGAGCACGGGGGGGGAGGGGACAGGGGCAGAGTGAGAGGGGGACGGAGGATCCAAAGCTGGCTCTGCACTGACAGCAGTGAGCCCATGTGGGGCTCGAACTCATGAACCATGAGATCAGACCCAAGCCAAAGTTGGCTGCTTAACCGACTGAGTCACCCAGGTGCCCTGCAAAGATCAGTTTCGACAGAGTCTGACATGTCTGCAGAAGGCTAGAAAACAGAAAATGCAGTGTTATCATTTATTACCACAATAGATGTAAATAGACATTTTTCCCTTTCCTCAAAAAATGCATTGATTAAAAGGTATTAATCCATTGCTTAAAACATTTTATTGTACTATAATATTTGTTTTATTTTTTACTATGATGATTATATGTATGAAATTCAATAAAAGAAATTTTGCACTACATTTTTTATTGGTCACGGTTGCTATTCATGTCATGATTATTATTGAAAATCACGTATAGAAGAGGGATATCTTCAAAAAAAAAATCTACTCTGGATATCAAATACTCTAAGTATGCCTCTGCAGTCAGGAAAGGCTTCCCTTGAGTAAGTGAAACCCCAGCTAAGGCTTGAAGGGTGAGTTGGAGATGGCCAGGAAAAGAGCGTGCTTTGGGCAGAGAGAAGAACATGTGCAAAGGCCCTGCATCACAGCAGAGGAAAAACTCAAAACTGGCACTATGGCTAGAGCAGAGTGAGCAAAGGTGAAGGGCCACAAGCTGAGAGACCCCAGAGGGTGGTAGGGGCCATGTGATTGGAATGGGATTTGGTTGGACTCTGAGAAAAACCGAAATAAGTGATTTAAATTAGATCACATTTTATTTCTGTTTCCCGTAAGAAAAGCACATAGGTTGGCAGGTGTGTGCATAGCAGTGTTAGGGACCAGGCCCCTTTTGTCTTATTGCTCTACTGGCCCCAGTATTAGCTTCCTCCTCATGGTCCAAGATGGCTGCTGGAGTCTCAGCCATCATGTATGCATTCTAGTCAGCTGGAAAGAAAAGGGGCAAAGGAAGCCCCCCCCCGCCCCCACACACACACATTAGAACCCAACACCTGCCTGCATCCAGTCAGTCATGATTTAATCATTTGGCCCATCCCAGCTATAAGGGAGGCTGGGAAATGGAGTCTATATAAATGGCTTTGTGCCTGGCTATAAGCAAGGATGCTCTTTCTAAAGAAGGAAAGAATGGGGGCACCTGGTTGGTTCAGTTGGTGGAGTGTGAGACTCTTGATCTCGGAGTTGTGAGTTTGAGCCCCACATTGTGTTGTGTGTACAGATTACTTAAAAGTAAAATCTTAAGGACGGCTGGGTGGCTCAGTCAGTTAGTCATTTGAGTTGACTCAGGTCATGATCTCACGGTTCATGAATTCGAGCCCTGCATCTGATGAGCTCGAGCCCCACTTCTCTCTCTCTGTCTCTCTCTGTCTCTCTCTCTCTCTCTCTCTTCTTCTCTCTTTCTCTACCTCTTGTGGGATTCTTTCCCTCTCTCTCTGTTCCTCACTTACTTGCGCCCTCTCGCTTTCAAAAAAATAAAATAAAATAAAGTAAAATAATATCTTCAAAAAATAAAGAAGGAAAGTCAAAACCACAATGAGATACCACCTCACACCTGTCAGAATGACCAACATTAACAACTCAGGCAACAATAGATGTTGGCGAGGATGTGGAGAGAGAGGATCTCTTTTGCATTGTTAGTGGGAATGCAAGCTGGTGCAGCCACTCTGGAAAACGGTATGGAGGTTCCTCAGAAAACTAAAAATAGAACTACCCTACGACCCAGCAATTGCACCACTAGGCATTTATCCAAGGGATACAGTTGTGCTGTTTCGAAGGGGCACATGCACCCCCATGTTTATAGCAGCACTGTCAACAATAGCCAAAGTATGGAAAGAGCCCAAATGTCCATCGATGGATGAATGGATAAAGAAGATGTGGTATATATATATATATATACAATGGAATATTCCTCGGCAATCAAAAAGAATGAAATCTTGCCATTTGCAACTACGTGGATGGAACTAGAGGGTATGATGCTAAGTGAAATTAGTCAGTCAGAGAAAGACAAAAATCATATGACTTCACTCATAGGAGGACTTTAAGAGACAAAACAGATGAACATAAGGGAAACAAAAATAATATAAAAACAGGGAGGGGGACAAAACAGAAGAGACTCATAAATATGGAGAACAAACTGAGGGTTGCTGGAGGGGTGGTGGGAGGGATGGGCTAAATGGGTAAGAGGCATTAAGGAATCTACTCCTGAAATCATTGTTGCACTATATGCTAACTAACTTGGATATAAATTTAAAAATTAATTAATTTAAAAAAATAAATTAAAGGGGCACCTGGGTGGCTCTGTCGGTAGAGGATCTGACTTCAGCTCAGGTCAGGATCTCACAGTTCTCTCATGATTCGTGGGTTTGAGCCCCATGTCAGGCTCTGTGCTGATAGCTCAGAGTCTGGAGCCTACTTCAGATTCTCTCTGTCTCCGTCTCTGTCTCTGTCTCTGTCTCTCTCTGCCCCTCCCTGGCTTGCATTCTCCTTGTCTCTCAAAAATGAATAAATGCTTAAAAATGTAAATAAATAAATAAATAAATAATTTTTTTAATGTTTTATTGTTTATTTTTGAGAGAGAGAGGCAGAACATGAACAGGGAGGAGCAGACACACACACACACACACACACACACACACACACACACACACACAGAATCTGAAGCAGCTCCAGGCTCTGAGCTGTCAGCACCGAGCCCGACGCGGGGCTCAAACTCACGAACTGCGAGATCATGACCTGAGCTGAAGTCAGACACTCAACTGACTGAGCCACCCAGGTGCCCCCAATAAATTTTTAAAAATTAAGGAAAGAATTGATCATGGGGGATGGGCACATGGCTGCCACACCACGAAAAGAATGTTGGCCTTTTTCCTAAAAGTAATAATAGCCATTGAAGGTTTTAAGAATAGTGTGCTGCCTTCATTTTAGGATGGTAAGGAGTGGCTGGCCAGTCAGGGTGGCTTCAGGGAGGCAGGAGGAAGCTCCAGCAACAGTCCAGGCACAGTGGCGTTGGGGTGGAGTGGATGCAGAAGAAGAGGGAGAGGAGATGTTGAAGATGCCAAGACCAGAGTGGAAGAGAAGTAAGTTTGTGGGTGACCGAGCGAGGTCAGTTTGCACTTGTGACATCCGAGGTGCCTGTAAGACATCCCAGTGGGGATGTTGGCGGGCAGCTGGCTACACAAGTCCAGAGCACAAAGAGCGGTCCAAAGGGCAGACAGGAGTGAGGGGGTTATGGTGACGAGATGCTAGTAATGCCACAGGCCAAAGGAACACACACAGGCGCGAGGGCAAAGGCTGAGCCTTGGTAATCCCATCAGTGACAGGCTGGGAAGAGAAAGTGGAGAAGGAAACAGCAAGACCAAAGATGAGACGAACAGAAGGCAGAGCTCTCGTGGAAGCCAAGAGGATTGAGTGTTTTGAGGAGAGAGAGAAGGCCTTCCCTGCCGTGACCTTCCCTGACCTGTACTGATGCAGAAGCAGGGAAATGATGAGAAAACCTGAAGTCAGGGGTCAGCAGATCTGGCCCCGACACCTCCCTGACTAGAACTCAATTCCTCATCTGTAAAGTGGGGCCAGGACACCAACCCTTCTGTGTAGCCATTCTTGTTGCCTCTCCAACATCATTCCTCCTGACTTCCTCACGGAACCACAGTTTTGTTGGAGTAACTATGGCAGAGACTGCCGATTGCCCCCATATCCGTTCTCCCTTCTTCCATAGAAATGGAAATTTCAGCTGGCCAAACACTGCATTTCTCAACTCCTTTGCAGTAAAGGGTGGCCATGTGACTGCAGTGGGTTATGTTATAGGAGAGGAACCCCGAGCTTAGGGAAACTGAAACTTTCCATTTATTTATTTATTTATTTATTTATTTATTTATTAATTATTTTAGAGGGTTCAAGGGAGAGAGTGTGAGCAGGGGAGAGGGGCAAAGGGAGAGAGAAAGAATCTCAAGCAGGCTCCATGCCCAGCGTGGAGCACCAGGCGGGGCTCAATCCCACGACCCTGGGATCATGACCTGAGCCAAAATGAAGAGTTGGACCCTCAACCAACTGAGCCACGTGGGTGCCCCAGGAACCTGAGTCTTTTAACACCAGATCTTAATAAACTTGCCCTTTGACCTGGACGAAAACGCTACCTTTAAGGCTGTTTGCTATACACACCTCTTTGAGAGGTGTGCAGAAACATGAGAGACCCGCAGAGAATTATCTCCCAGCATTGCAGTAATATTGGATTTTGAGTGAGCAGCGGCATAATTATGGCCCCTGAGACATAAAGATGAATTGTTAGCAGCTTCCAGGAAAGCTCTCTTCGTTCACTGTACGTTGTCACGTCTAGACGTGACACTTGCCGACAGGCGGCCATCTTGTGACCATAAAGAAAAACATGGCTGACCTGTTGGCAATGGCAGAGACAAAGATTGAAAATGGCCTTGAGGGGCGCCTGGGTGGCGCAGTCGGTTAAGCGTCCGACTTCAGCCAGGTCACGATCTCGCGGTCCGTGAGTTCGAGCCCCGCGTCGGGCTCTGGGCTGATGGCTCAGAGCCTGGAGCCTGCTTCCGATTCTGTGTCTCCCTCTCTCTCTGCCCCTCCCCCGTTCATGCTCTGTCTCTCTCTGTCCCAAAAATAAATAAATGTTGAAAAAAAAAATTAAAAAAAAAAAAAAAAGAAAATGGCCTTGGTACTTGACGACGCTGTTGAGCCACTCACCCACTACTGGCACCATTTCGCTTCTTGCCACCTTGTTATGAGAAAGCAGAAATTTCCTCACCGTGGAAGCCACCGGAGTCAAGTGTCAGCTTGAGGCATCCTGAATCTTGCTCTAGTACGGTGCACCTCCCTCCTACAAGTGCTGTGAGGCCATCCAGTGTGAAAGCTCAGGTGGGAAGTGCTGGGGGCAGGGTTACTCAGAGGGGACTTCGGACCACCATCAGGTCACTTGGGGGTTGGCGGAGGGGGCCCAGAAGAGGAGCGGAGCCAGGCGACACACTCGGCGATTTCAGGGTGGCTTGGGGCTGTGGGTGACAGATGGCTTGTCAGATGAGTTCGTCGGGACTAATGGGCTGCTCTGATACCACCCACGGAACATGCTGGGTGCAGATCTGAACAGTTGAGAGGGAGCTTTCTGGAGGCACTGGCTTTGAAGCCAAACATGAATCTAATGGGGGGAGATTTCAAGCACCTTGAACAAGCTGGTGGGGCATATTTGGGGGAAAAGCAGGTATTCTATCACTCTTCAAATCCTCAAATGACCCTCCTCTCAATTAAATTCAAAAGCAATTATTGAGCACCTAGAGTGTGCAGATGAAAAAGACACAAGTGCTGCCTACTGCTGGCTTGACATCTGGAGGTGGCAGGGGATTATCATTTACCTCTGGGCTCAGGCTCGCTTCCTCCGGGCAGCCTTTCCAGACCCACACCCTCCTCACCCCCACCTCTGCTGCTCACCGTCTCAGCTGGGTTACCCTCCTGCTCCCCCTGGAGGCCCTCCAACTCAGCTGAGTCAGCCACCCCCCTCCCCACGCCCCACCCCTTCCCCCAAACCGGTCCAGTGTGGATCTTCCCACTCCCCCCACCAGGCCACACGCAGCACGATGCCAGGCACAAGAAACAGGCAGGACGCATGCGTTGAGAGGGACAGAGGAAGGCGAGCCCCTTCCGGGAGATCCCACCAGAAAAAGGCTCCAGGAAGAAATGAACAGAGTGACAGGGCTGGGCGTGGGGATGGCCTGTCAGGTGGGGGGAAAAGGGGTGCAGGAAGATAGGGGCCAGGCCCTAAGCAGGGGGGTAAAATTCAGCGGGCAAGGTTACACGGAAGAACCTATGGATGTCCTTGGTGCTACAGCACGGGCAGGCCCCTGGGGATTTCGAGCAGGATAATTAACCTCATACAGGCATGCCTCAGAGATATTGTGGGTCGGTTCCAGACCACCACGATAAAGCCAGTCAAATGAATCTTTTGGTTTCCCAGTGGTAAAAAAGTTATGTTGACACTATATTGCAGTCTATTAAGTGTGCAATAGTATTATGTCTGAAACAACAATGTACATACTTAATTGTTTTTATTTTATTATTTTTTTTTAACGTTTATTCATTTTAGAGGGACAGAGCGTGAGCAGGGGAGGGGCAGAGAGAGAGGGAGACACAGACTCTGCAGCGGGCTCCAGGCTACGAGCTGTCAGCACAGAGCCCAGAGTGGAGCTCGAACTCACAAACCATGAGATCATGACCCGAGCCGAAGTCAGAAGCTTAACCAACTGAGGCATCCAGGTGCCCCAGGTACATACTTAATTTAAAAAATACTTTATTGCAGGGGTGAAACAGTGACTCTTGATTCCAGGGTCATGAGTTCAAACCTCACGTTGAATTTAGAGACTACTTTTTAAAAAATGATTGCTAAAAAATGATAACCATCGGGGCGCCTGGGTGGCGCAGTCGGTTAAGCGTCCGACTTCAGCCAGGTCACGATCTCGCGGTCCGGGAGTTCGAGCCCCGCGTCGGGCTCTGGGCTGATGGCTCAGAGCCTGGAGCCTGTTTCCGATTCTGTGTCTCCCTCTCTCTCTGCCCCTCCCCCGTTCATGCTCTGTCTCTCTCTGTCCCAAAATAAATAAACGTTGAAAAAAAAAAATGCTAACCATCTTCTGAGCTGTCAGCAAGCTGAAATCACTGATCACAGACATAGTAATAATGACTATAATACCAATGAAAACTTTTGAAATATTATGAGAGTGACCAAAACATGACACAGAATCGTGAAGTGAGCAGCATTTGCTGCTAGAAAAATGATGTCCACAGACTTGCTTGATGCAGACTTGCTTGGCCTTCAGTTTGTAAAAAAATGCAGTATCTTTGAAGCAAAGTACAATAAAACAAGGGATGTCTGTAAAGCTTTATTTGGGCAATTGTGATGTGCCAGACACCAGCTTAGATGTTCTACATGTATTTCCTTTTTTGTTCTTTTAAAGTAATCTCGGGGCACCTGGGTGGCTAGTCGGTTAAGTGTGTCTGACTTTCGCTCAGGTCATGATCTCACAGCTCGTGGGTTCGAGCCCCATGTCGGGCTCTGTGCTGACAGCTCAGAGCCTGGAGCTTGCTTCGGATTCTGTGTCTCCCTCTCTGTGCCCCTCCCCTGCTCATGTTCTGTCTCTCTGTCTCTCAAAAATAAATAAACATTAAATTTTTTTTTTTTATTTTTTTTTAGCGTTTATTTATTTTTGAGACAGAGAGAGACAAAGCATGAACGGGGGAGGGTCAGAGAGAGGGAGACACAGAATCTGAAACAGGCTCCAGGCTCTGAGCTGTCAGCACAGAGCCTGACGCGGGGCTCGAACTCATGGACCGCAAGATCATGACCTGGGCCAAAGTCGGCCACTTAATCGACTGAGCCACCCAGGCGCCCCTAAAAAAAATTTTTTTTAATAAATAAATAAATAATCTCTACACCCAATGTGGGGCTCGAACTCACAACCCTGAGATCAAGAGTCACATGCTCTGCTGATGGAGTCAGCCAGGTGCCCCATGTGTTTCCTTCCTTAATCCTCATGCCAACCCCATGAGATGGATATTAGCATCCCATTTGGCTGAGACACTGAAGCACCACAACCACCAAGTGGCAAAGCTGGGACTTGAACCTCAAGTCCTATCCCCATAGTGTTTCATGAACACTCGTTGTGGGCCACACGCCTTATAGACAGCATTACCCTTACCCATCCCAGCCACCCTTGCTGGAACATATCAGAGGCCACCTCGATGCTACACTGTCTCTCCCCTGCACTTCTGAACGTGGCATTGGTCTTTACTCGGGGAAAACTTTCAACACAGGGCAGGCCCTCAGCACCGGGGTGGGGGTGGGGCTCGGGGTGAAGGTGGGGCAGCTGCTGTATGAATGAGTCATCCTGGAAATGGCTCCTCCAGCCCCCTTCCAACCTTCAGATGACCGCAGCCGTGGCCAACATCTTAACTGCAATCTCATGACAGACCCCAAGCTAGAACCACCAAGGTGAGCAGCTTCCAGACCCCTGACTCCTACGCACTACATGTTGGAGGTTATCAGTAGGTAACTGATACACACATCATTCAGGGTCCAGCCCCTCCTGGCTGTGTGACTGTGGGAACTTTACCACTCTGAGCGTATGGTTTCTCTGGTTCAGACCTTTCTGCTGAACTCCGGATCAAACAAATCAGCAATCCCCATTAAGGCCCCTCAGGCATGGGCACTTAGCATGTCTCACGTATCTCTTAAACCCGCTTCCCACCATGGCTCAGGCCCTCATCAACTCTCCCTTCAATTACTGAAACAGCCCCCTCACTGATTCTCCTGCCTTGTACAAGGCTGCGAATAACAAAATCCCAAAATCCCATATAAAAAACTTATAAAACTCAACACCCCCAAAATGAAAAATCCAACTAAAAAGGGCAGAACACATGAATAAACATTTTTCCAAAGAAGAAATCCAGATGGCCAATAGACACATGAAAAGATGCTCAACATCACTCATGGTCAGGGGAATGCAAATCGAAACCACAATGAGATGCTACCTCACACCTGTCAGAATGGCTAAAATCAACAATACAAGAAAAAACGCGTGTTGGCAAGGATGCAGAGAAAGCGGAACCTTCTTGCGTTGTTGGTGGGAATGCAAACTGGTGTAGCCACTCTGGAAGACAGTATGGAGGTTCCTCAAAAAGTGAAAAATAGAACTACCCTGCAATCCAACAGTCACACTACTAGGTGTTTACCCACAGGATACAAAAGTACTAATTCAAAGGGATACGTGCACCCCTATGTTTATAGCAGCAGTCTATACAATAGCCTTTTTTTTTTTTTTTTTTTTTTAAATTTCATTTGAGAGAGAGAGCAAGTAGGGGAGAGAAATTGAGGGAGAAAGAGAATCTCAGGCAGGCTCCACGCTCAGCCCGGAGCCCGACACAGGGCTCAAGTCCCACAACCCTGGGATCATGACCTGAGCCGAAATCAGGAGTTGGACACTCAACTGACTGAGCTACCCAGGCGCCCCCCCTACAATAGCCAAATTAATGAAACAGTTCCAGTGTCTGTCGATTAATGAATGGATAAAGAATATGTGGTGTCAGGGCACCGGGGTGACTCAGTTGGTTGAGCATCTGACTCCTTTTTTTTTTTTTAATGTTTATTTATCTTTGAGAGAGAGAGAGCAAGCAGGGGAGGGGCAGAGAGAGAGGGGGACAGAGGATCCGAAGCGGGCTCTGCACTGACAGCAGGGAGTCTGATGCGGGGCTCGAACTCATGAACTGCAAGGTGATGACCCGAGCCAAAGTCAGATGCTCAAGGGACTGAGCCACCCAGGTGCCCCAAGCATCCTACTCTTGATTTTGGCTCAGGTCATGATCCCAGGGTCACGGGATCGAGCCTCACATCAGGCTCTGCATTGAGCATGGAGCCTGCTTGAAATTCTCTCTCTCCCTCTGCCTTTCCCCCCGCCACCACCCGCTGCTCGTGCGTTCTCTGTCTCTCTCTAAAATAAAAAATAATAAAATGTTAAGAATTAAAAAGAAAAGATGTAGTGGTTATATATACAATGGAACATTACCCGGTCATGAAAAAGAATGAAATCTTGCCATTTGCAACAACACGGATGGAGTAGAGAGTATTGCGCTAAGTAAAATAAGTCTGTCAGAGAAAGACAAATACCGTAAGATTTCACTCATGTGTGGAATTTAAGAAACAAAACAAACGAGCAACAGGGGAAAAAAGAGAGAGAGAAAGAGAGAGACAAACCAAGAAACAGACTCTTAACTATAGGGAACAAACTGATGGTTGCCAGAGGGGAGGTGGGGGGCGGGATGGGTTACACAGGTGATAGGGGTTAAGGAGTGCACCTGTCCGGATGAGCACTGGGTGATGTATGGAAGTGTTGAATCACTATCTTGTACTCCTGAAACTAATATTACACGGTCTGCTAACTGGACTTTAAATTTTTCAAAAGTAATCCCCAAATACCAGCGGATTACACTTGACAGAAGTGTATTTCCCTCTCACATTCCAGAAGTCCAGGAGCGCCTGGGTGGCTCAGTCGGTTAAGCACCCAACGTCGGCTCAGGTCATGATCTCATGAACTTATGGTTCGTGAGCTCGAGCCCCACTTCAGGCGCTGTGCTGACAGCTCAGAGCCTGGAGCCTGCTTCAGAATCTGTGACTCCCTCTCTCTCTGCCCTTCCCCTCCTCACTCTCTGTCTCTCAAAAAATAAATAAATGTTAAAAAAGAAAAAAAAAAAAAAAGAAGTCCAGAGGCAGGCATGCAGTCCAGGGTTAGCATGACATACCACCGAACAAGGAACCCAGGCTCTATCTGGTTGATCTGCAGTGTGTAGTTTTCATTCCCAAAGTTTCCTCATGGTCTAAAGTAGGTGCTTGTGCTCCAGCCATCATGTCCACATTCCAGCCATTAGAAAGGAGTAACTGGAGAAAAATAAAACACCCCTTCCCTTTAAAAACATTTTGCTTATTTTCCACTGACCACATCTAGCAAGGGAGGCAAGGAAACAGTCTATTTTGTGGGTCAATTATGTGCTCAGCTAAAAATACAAAAAATGTTGTACTCAGGAAGAATGGCATGTAGGACAACCAGCAGTCTTTGCAGCACCCTCCACGCTGCTGCCCAGTAGAAGGTTTTATTGTTACTCTTCGCTTTTGTTCTTCATTATAAAAATAATATAGTCTAGGAAGGGGAGGCCCAAAGAAGGGTCACAGAGAGTTGGTGGCTGTGTCAGAAGTAGACTCCCCAACCACAGTCCCTCTCCACTCTGGCCTCCGTTTTCTCAGCAGGTAATATTTTATAATTGGGGCAATGCAACACATAAACATACAACAAAAGAGCATTCTAGTTTTGACCTAAGTTACAAAAGAAAAATTGAAAGGAAATCTTTATAGTTACAGCTTTTAAAATAACAAAGAACGGCGGCCCCGTGTTTTAAGGAGGCAAACTCTTTCCTGGCTCAGTTCTTGGAATCAGGAAAAATTATCACACCTTCTTTGCACCTCAGGCTCTCTGCCTTGAACCTAGAAAAGAGCCTGTGTTCTTCCTTGTAAATATAAAACTTTTATTGTTAGGTGATAGTAATGGGAAACAAAAATGGAATATGTTTGAGCTGCTTCATTTCTAAATGGTGACATAACATGAAAGAAATGTACCTGAATTTAAGATTTATTCTTTAAGTTACCCACAGAATGTTAACAGTGTTAGGACTGATACAAGGGACTTTTCCTATGGGGTTACCTATTTCTGGACCATTTGAACCTTACAAGAAGCATGGATTCCACATATACATGAAAAAAAAAAAAAGACTTAAAATCAAATATAGCCTATGGGGCACCTGGGTGACTCAGTCGGTTGAGTGTCTGACTTTTGATCTTGGCTCAGGTCGTGATCTCACGGTTCAGGCGATCAAACCCCACATGGGGATCTGCCTGACAGTGTGGAGTCTGCTTGAGATTTTCTTTCTCCTTCTCTCTCTGCTCCTCCTGCGTTCTTCTGGTCTGTCTTAAAAATAAATAAATAAACAATTTCAAAATGCTGAGTCAGGGAGAGCTATTTTAAAAAAATCAAATATAGCCTCTACTCTCTCTAAATAAAATAATAGGTGCTTATTATAGAAAATACAGAAATATATAAAAAGAAAATTTTAATTACCCACAATTTCACCCTTCAGAGAGAGTCTCACTGTTAATAGGTGTGATGCCTTCAATCTTCTAACTTAGAATCATTCTGGATATAGTTTTTTCCAATATTTGTTACGAGAATTTTCAAGCAGATAGCAAAGCTAAAAGAATTGCTCAGTGATCACTTATTCTCACCCCCTAGATTCTCCCATTAACATTGTACTAGGGGCCCCTGGGTGGCTGAGTCAGTTGAGCGTCTGGCTTCCGCTCAGGTCATGATCTCACAGCTTGTGAGTTTAAGCCCTGCATCAGGCTCTGTGCTGACAGCTCAGAGCCTGGAGCCTGCTTCGGATTCTGTGTCTCCCTCCCTCTCTGCCCCTCCCCTGCTCACACTCTGTCTCTCAAAGATAAATAAACGTTAAAAAAAAAAACTTTTTTTAATGAACAACATTGTGCTATAGTTGTTTTATTGCATAGTTATCCAGCTGGATATAGATGGTTTTTAAAATTATCATGCAGTAATACTGACTTCTTTTGGTGTGCATTTCCACAATATTTACATGTATAGATATATGTAATCACCACAATAAGGATTCAGAACAGTTCCATCATCCCCAAATAATTCCATCATCCCCCTTGTAGGCATGCTTTCCCCCACCCCTAAGCCCTGGGAACCACTGATCTGTTCTCATCACCATTGTCCTAGAATGTCACATAAATTGAACCATACAGCATGTATCCTTTGAGATTGGGTTCTTGCAATCACATTATGTGCAGCAAGAGTTTGTTCCATAGGAGCACTTAAATATATAAAGCAAATCTTTATGGACATAAAGGAGTAATTGACAGTAATACCATAATAGTAGGGGACTTTAACACTCCACTTACATCAATGGATAGATCATCCAGACAGAAAATCAATAAGAAAATATTGGCCTTCAATGACATATTAGACCAGATGAACTTGATAGATTTATACAGAACTTCCAACCAGAAGCAGCAGAATATACATTCTTCTCAAGTGTACATGGAACATTCTCCAGGATGTATTAGGCCACAAACAAGTCTCAATAAAATTCAAGAAGACTGAAATTATATCAAGCATCTTTTCCAAGCACACGAGTACAAAACTAGAAATCAATTACAAGGAGAAAACTGGAAAAAACACAAATACATTAAGAATAAACAACATGCCGGGGCGCCTGGGTGGCTCAGTGGGTTGAGCGTCCGACTTAGGCTCAGGTCATGATCTCACCATTCCCGAGTTCAAGCCCCATGTCTGGCTCTGTGCTGACAGCTCAGAGCTTGGAGCCTGTTTCGGATTCTATGTCTCCCTCTCTGTCTCTGCCCCTTCCTCGCTCGTGCTCTGTCTCTCTCAAAAATAAATAGGCAATGGGGCGCCTGGGTGGCGCAGTCGGTTAAGCGTCCGACTTCAGCCAGGTCACGATCTCGCGGTCCGTGAGTTCGAGCCCTGCGTCAGGCTCTGGGCTGATGGCTCGGAGCCTGGAGCCTGTTTCCGATTCTGTGTCTCCCTCTCTCTCTGCCCCTCCCCCATTCATGCTGTCTCTCTCTGTCCCAAAAATAAATAAAAACGTTGAAAAAAAAATTTTTTTAATAAATAAGCATTAAAAAAATTTTTAAGAATAAACAACATGCTACTAAACAACCAATGGGTCAAAAAAAGAAGTCAAAGAAGTTTAAAAAATATCTGGAGACAAATGAAAATGGAAACACAACTTTCCAAAATCTATGGGATTCAACAAAAGCAGTTTCAAGAGGGGAGTTCATAGCAATACAGGACTACCTCAAAAAATAAAATTCTAACTTTACACCTAAAGGAACTAGAAAAAGAACAAACAAAGCCCAAAGTTAGCAGAAGAAAGGAAATAATAAAGACCAAAGCAGAAATAAATGGAGACAAAAAACAAAACAAAAACAACACACACACAACAGAAAAGATAATGAAACTAAAAGACAGTTTTTTGAAAGCATATACAAAAATCAACAAACTTCTAACAAGACTCATTAAGAAAAAAAAGAGAGGAGGGGCACCTGGCTGGCTCAGTTGGTGGAGCATGCAACTCGATCTCAGAGTTATGAGTTCAGGCCCCATGTTGGGTGTAGAAATTACCTAAGAATAAAATCTATTAAGGGACACCTGGGTGGCTCAGTTGGTTAAGTGGCCAATGGCATTTTTCATATAACTAGAACAAAGGATCCTAAAATTTGAATGGAATCACAAAAGACTCCTAATAGCCAAAGCTATTTCTCAAATATTTAGAAAGAAAAACAAGGCTGGAGGTATCAAACTATACTACAAAGCTATACTAATCAAAACATTATGGCACTGCCATGAAAACAGACACATAGATCAATGGAATAGAATAGAAAGCCCAGAAACAAACCTACACATACATGGTCAATTAATCTATGACAAAGGAGGCAAGAATGTACAATGGGGAAAAGACAGTCTCTTCTACAAATGATGTTGGAAAAGCTGGACAGCCACATACAAAAGAAACTTAACCACTGTCTTACACCATACACAAAAATAAACTCAAAATGGATTAAAGTTGAATGTAAGACCTGAAACTGTAAAAATCCTAGAAGAGAACATAGGCAGTAAGCAATTTGGCATTGGTCTTAACAATATTTTTTTGGACCAGTATCCCCAGGCAAGGACAACTAACATTAAAATAAACAAATGGTGGGGCGCCTGTGTGGCTCAGTCGGTTAAGCGTCCGACTTCGGCTCAGGTCACGATCTCACCGTCCGTGAGTTCGAGCCCCGCGTCGGGCTCTGGGCTGATGGCTCAGAGCCTGGAGCCTGCTTCCGATTCTGTGTCTCCCTCTCTCTCTGCCCCTCCCCCGTTCATGCTCTGTCTCTCTCTGTCTCAAAAATAAATAAAATGTTAAAAAGAAAAAAAAATAAAAATAAATAAATAAATAAATAAATAAATAAATAAATAAAAATAAAAAAATAAAATAAACAAATGGGATTATATCAAACTAAAAAAGCTTTTTCAAAGTGAAGGAAATCATCCACAGAATGGAAAGGCAACCTACTGAAAGGGAGAGGACATTTGCAAATCATACATCCAATAAGGGCTTAATATTCAAAATATATTAAGAGCTTACACAGCTTAGTATTAAAAAAAATAAACAACCTAATTAAAAATTGAGCAGAGGAATTGAATAGACATTTTTCTAAAGAAGACATCCAGATGGCCAACAGGCACATGAAAAAATGCTCAACATAACTAATCCTCAGGGAAATGCAAATCAAAACCAAATTGAGATATCACCTCACACCTGTCAGAATGGCTGTTATCAAAAAGACAAAAAGTTATAAGTGCTGGTGAGGATGTGAAGAAAAGGGAACCCTCGTGCACTGTCAGTGGGAAGGTAAATTGGTGCTGCCACTGTGGAAAACAGTATGGAGGTACCTCAAAAAATTAAAATGAGGGGCACCCGGCTGGCTCAGTCCTCTTAATCTCGGGGTTATGAGTTTAAGCCCCATGCTGGGTGTAGAGATTGCTTAAAAATAAAATCTTTAAAAAAAATGAAAACACCGGGAGCCTGGGTGGCTCGGTCGGTCAAGCATCTGACCTAGGCTCAGGTCATGATCTCACGGTCTGTGAGTTGGAGCCACGCATCGGGCTCTGTGCTGACAGCTTAGAACCTGGAGCCTGCTTCAGATTCTATTTGTCCCTCTCTCGTTGCACCTCTCCTATTCGCGTTCTCTCTCCCTCTCAAAAATAAATATTAAAAAAATTAAAAATGAAAACACCAATTTGACGAGATACGTACACTCCTATGTTCACTGAAGCATTATTTACAATCACCAAGATGTGGAAGCCACTTAAGTGTCTATCAATACATGAATGAATAAAGAAGATGTGAGATATACATAGACATATGATATATACATATATATACATGTGATATATACATATGTGTATCTCTCTATATATCTATAGATATATATGAATATATAAAGAGATACACACAATAGAGATATATAGATAGATACACACACACACACACACACACACACACACACACACACACACACAATGGAATTACACTCAGCCACTCTTTGAGGAAGATGCAGTCGCAGCTACAGCGGAGCTTTGGAGGCCCCTCTCCTGCTCCTGATACACCACTGTTCATTCTTGCTGAGGAACAAGTGGGTCAGGCAGTGATGCCACAGCTGTGGCTTTTAAAGACACTGGGAAGGGGCGCCTGGGTGGCTCAATCGCTTGAGCATCCGACTTCAGCTCAGATCATGATCTCGCAGTCTGTAAGTTCGAGCCCTGGGTCAGGCTCTGTGCTGACAGCTCAGAGCCTGGAGCCTGTTTCCGATTCTGTGTCTCCCTCTCTCTCTGCCCCTCCCCCGCTCATGCTCTTCTCTTTCTCTCTCTGTCAAAAATAAATAAACATAAAAAAAAAAAAAAAAAAAACAAAGACACTGGGAAGACACCCGTGGAACTAGAGGTGATGTTTCACTGAATTAGAATTATTCTACCCAGTTGCAACATAAAATCTTTAGAGAAGGTATGTGCTGACTTGATCTGAGGCACAAAGGAAAAGAATCTCGAAGTGAAAGGACTAGTTTGGATGCCTACCAAGACTCTGAGCATCACTACAAGAAAAACTCCTTGTGGTGAAGGTTCTAAGACTTGGGACTGTTTTCAGGTGAGGATCCACAAGCGACCCATTGATTTGCACAGACTTTTGGAGATTGTTAAACAGATTATTTCCATCA